GGGGGGTGTTTTCCACAGAGCCCGGGGCAGGACCCTGGACGCGTTTCCCGCAGGTACTCGGGGACGGGTGACTTCAGGGCTGCGGAACCTTCCGCCGGGGGAACCTTCCGTCTGGGAGCGCGCGCCTCCAGCCGGACCCCATCGGGGCCGCAGACGGTGCCTGGGACTAAAATAACGTCTGCACAGCCCGCGCGGAAAGGCTTCCTCGGGCGCTATGGAGACCAGAGTGTCGGTGCGGGGAGTCCTGTCGCTCGTGGAGCCTCGCTGGCCTCCACCGAACTTCCCCGAGAAAAGAGTAAGGCAGCCAAGCAGTTCATAGGAGCGTGGGCTCTGCAGTTGGGCTTGGTTTCCGCGCCTTGCCTAGGACACGCGACTCAGCGAGTCGTGGCCTCAGTTTGCTCATCTGTAAAACGGGAATAATAACAGAGGATCTGTGTGGCACTCCTTAAGCGTCTGGTGCACGTTAGAGGTCGTTATTTTTATTACGGTCGTTCAACCACTATGTATTTTATACACCGTCATCACGGTTATTTACTATAATATGAGCCACCCACCAAAGTGTTAGCAGTGCCCTTCAGAACAGGAGAGAGGCAAGGCAGTCAAGAGGCGTGGTAGAGTTAAGTGCTTGGACTTTGGATTTAGACAATCTGTCTCGTTGTAAAAATGGGTTTGTTAAGATTCTCATAGGTAACAGATTAACCGGATTATTCTTTTAACAGTTCTTTTGAAACTGGTTTTGAAACCCAGCTCCTGACACAGACTAGGGCCTGAGTGAATGTTAGCCCTAGAGCTGTAAGTCTGGAGGGAAATCTGTTCCTGGTTCCTTGGTTCTCTCTGTGGCTTTTTTGCTGCCTGGAGTCAAATTCCTTCCCTTGCACTCACCAGTTTTGTAACCCAAGGAAAGTCACTGATGCCCTGCTTGGATCTGCCTTGTGCTCACCTTTCTTGCTTCATGCTCCATCCTTTCCCTTGCCCAGTTCTCCGCCCACACTGGTTTTCTTGAACTGCATTAATTTTATTTATTTATTTTTATTTAATTTTTATTTATTTATTTTTTTGTTTAAAATATTACAGATGTCCCCTTTTCTCCCCAATGACCCACTCCACCCGGCCCACCCCCCTCCCCAGTCCCTCTCCATACTATTGTCCGTGTCCTTGGGTTGTGCATATATGCATATAAATTTTTTGGTTAATCTCTCCTCCACCCACCCGCCCTCCTCCATCCCTCTGACATTCGTCAATCTGATCCATGCTTCCATGTCATTGAATCTATTTTGTTCATCAGCTTATTAAGCTCTTTAGATTCCACATATAAGTGAGATCATGTGATGCTTGTCTTTCTCTGCCTGGCTTATTTCACTTAGCATAATATTCTCCAGATCCATCCATACTGTCCCAAATGGTACAAGATTTTTTCTTTACACCTGCGTAGTATTCCATGGTGTAAATGGCCCACAGCTTTTTTATCCACTCGTCTACTAATGGGCACTTGGGCTGTTTCCAGATCCTAGCCATTGTAAATTGTGCTGCTTTGAACATAGAGGTGCGTATGTTCTTTTTTNNTGTCATTTGTTGATTTGTTGATGGCAGCCATTCTTACAGGTGTGAAGTGATACCTCATTGTGGTTTTAATTTGTATCTCTCTGATGATTAGTGACATTGCACATGTTTCCATATGCCTCTTGGCCATCTGTATGTCCTCTTTGGAAAGGTGTCTATTTAGGTCCTTTGCCCATTTTTAATTGAGTTGTTTGTCTTCCTCTTGTTGAGTTGTATGAGTTCTTTGTACACTTTGGAAATTAGCCCCTTATCAGATACATCCTTGGCAAATATGTTTTCCCAGACCGTGGGGTTCCTTTGTATTTTGAGGCTGTTTTCTTTTGCTGTGTAGAAGCTTTTTAGTTTGATGTAGTCCCATATGTTTATTTTTTCTTTTGTTTCTCTTGCTCTAGGAGATGTATCAGTGAAAAGTCCACTACGTGGGATGTCTGTGACTTTACTGCCTATGTTTTCTTCCAGGATTTTTATAGTTTTGTGTCTTACATTTAAGTCTTTTATCCATTTTGAGTTTATTTTTGTGTATGGTGAAAGTTGGTGGTCTAGTTTCATTTTTTTGCATGTACATGTCCAATTTTCCCAGCACTACTTATTGAGAGACTGTCTTTACTTCATTGTATGGTCTTGCCTCCTTTGTCAAATATTAACTGACCGTAATGGTGTGGGTCTATTTCTGGGGTCCTTGTTCTGTTCCATTGATCTATATGTCTGTTGTTATACCAATACCAGGCTGTTTTGATTACAGTGGCTTTGTAGTACAGTTTGATATCTGGTAAAGTGATCTCTCCTACTCTGTTGTTTTTTCTCAAGATGGCTGCAGCTATTTGGGGTCTTTTTGGGTTCCATATAAATTTTCGAAATGTTTGTTCTAGATCTGTGAAATATGCTGTTGGTATTTTAGTAGGAATTGCATTGAATTTATAAATTGCTTTGGGTAGTATGGACATTTTATTGATATTAATTCTTGAACTGCATTTAAGAGGACCAACCACAGTGTCTTTCTCCTCAGAACCTGGCACTTGCCTTTCCTGGCTCCCATAGCTAAGAGCTGGGCTGGGGGCCTGGCTCTTTCTTAGTCTTCACATCTTGTTTAAAGTTAAGTCACTTCTCAGACAGGTTTTCCCTGGCCACTCTATCTAAAGTAGGTTTCCCCTGTAATTCTGTCCTAAAACCTTGTTCTCTTCTTTTTTTGCAGCTCCTGGTGGAGACTATGGGGGCCAAAAATATAGCTGGGTGGATTTGGGGAAATATAGTTTGCTGTAATGCTCATTCTCTAAATATTTTAATAGGCCCTTTTTGCCCAACATGAGATTTTTGAGATTTATCCATATTGATATTAGTAGCTCTAGTTCACTCATTTTCCTGCTGGGCAATGTTCCATTGTATAAATATATACTTTAGGCATTCTGTTGCTGGATATCCTAAGAATCTTCCCTTTGTCTCTCCGAATTAGTCTCCCTTCTCCACCGTTTTCCAGGAGGTTGACCTCTATGGGCTTCACTGGGCTCAGCTTCTGGCTTTCCATTGGGTTCAGCCAGTGGGGAATCCTGACTGGAGAACAGGGGAAAAGGGTGTTTATTTCCCCAGTTTACTCCCTATGGGCTTGCCTTGGGCTGGTTATATTCCTGACCTGAAGGTCACTGCTTTCAAGATAGCCTTTCCTTTGGGACTTTCTTTTCAGATTTGGGTAGCCACTCGCTCCCTCCTTCCTTTCAGATGTAGGAATGGCAACAGCTCAGCTTTTTTATCTTTGGACTACTAAACTCTCTTTTGTAGTTTTTCTACGCTCAACTCATCCCAAATAATCTATTTTTAAACCCTCCTTTAATTACCCTAATTTTGAGTGTGCCAGCTATTTCCTGATATAATGGACATTGAGTTGTTTCTGTTTTTCACTCTTGGTAGCAGTGCTGTTATGAACAAGTCTTCTTGTGGACACAGGGAAATTTCTCCAGGGCATATACCCAGGAGCAAAGTTCTGGGTTGTAAGGTATAATCATCCCCAGCTTTACCAGACCTTGTTAAATCGCCTTCCAAAGCCCTGGCACTGATTTATACATCCACCAGTGGTGAATAACAGTTCCTTGTTACTCTCTGTGGTATCCCTTTTCAGTTCAAGATATATTTATTGCAGTATCCTATTGCATTCTTTAATATCTTATGGAACTGTTAAATGCAAAAGGCAGGATAATTATTGGAGAGAGATATCCATGGAGACGAGGGGAAGAAGGAAGGCAGGTTACATGCCCTCAGGGGTTCATAATCTAGGCACAGAACTATGGCACAAAAAATAATTCTTGTCAACTGGTGGACTTGTTGGCCACTGCAGTGGGAAGAGTCTGGATGTTAAGATACTCTCTGAAGCATCCCTTTTCAGTTCAGGGTGTATTTATTAGGTCTCTATTACATTCTTTAGTATCTTGTGGCGATACTAAATGCAAAAGGCAGGATAGCTGGTGTACTTGTAGGCCACTACACTATGGTGGGAGGAGTCGGGATGTTAAGCATTGGTCCTGGGTGATGGTGGGTTTGTTAACTGAAATCACAGAGTAAGGAGTAGGGTCAGGTTTGATGGGGTTGATTTGGGAAGTAATGGCTTTGAGGTACCATCAGGAAATATGATGCAGCTTGTGGGGTGTAGTGCACAGCTGGGGATGGAGGTGTGGTTTCACCCACAGAGAGGAGAGTAGATAGTATTGCTGTAGGAATCAGTGACATTGCTAACGGGAATAAGTGTGGAGTAGTGGACCATGTGTGTCTCTATGTGTGTAACCTTAGAATATGCCAATGTGTAGGGGGCAGGAAGAAGAAAAAGACAAACTGAAGGGCTCCAAGCAGAAAACAATCAGAAATTTTGGATGATAAAACCAGGAGCTGACCTTTGCACCAAAGTTGGAGAGGGGGGCTTAAGGCAGGGTGGTATACAGGATAGATGTTGCAGACGTCTAGGTGAATGTTAGCTGAGCAGAGGATGGCACAGGCTGATTGTTATGTCACCTTGCGGAGAACAATTTCAGTAGAGTTGGAGGGGGATGCCTGGCACAGTGTTTGAGGAATGGCCGAGAGTGAGGATGTGAGATCAGCAAGGGTAGGATTCTGGTTGGAGCCATTTGGTGATGTAAGGAAGACATGGGTCAGTGTCCTCTTAAGGGAGGAGCAATGCTGAAGGAACGCTGGCCGTTTGAAATAGTAATGATGATAACAGGAGCAACTAACATTTATCAGGTGTTTGTGGCAGTCAGGCACTATTCTCTGGGTTGTATGTGGATTATGCCATGTAATCTCCAAAACAGTCCTGTTGAGGTACCTATTATGATTATCCTCTTTTATGATGGAAAAAAAAATCAAGCTAAAAAAGACTAGGCAGCTTGCCCACGGTCTCATGACTGGTATGAGATGGCTCTGGGGTTGAAAATGCAAAATGCAGGATAACTGTTGGAGAGAGTTATCTGTGGAGATGGAGAAAGATGGGATCAAGGGCTCAGAAGAGGGGTTGACTCTGGGATCAGATGTACTCTTTGGCCATCTCTCCACCCTTCTGTCCATCTATCTATTCAACTGTTTGTTTATCCATCCATCTACCAGGCCATCTGTCCACCATTCTGTCCATCATATGCCCATGTCTTCATGCGTCTATCCATCTATCGGTTCATTCATTTGCCCACTCATCAAATGCACCTAGCACTTGGCCTTGTCCCAGCCATGGTGCTGGATGCCAGAGTGCGATGATGAGTGAAA